ATGACCCTTCTGGATGCACCATAGATATTTGCGACAGCAGTCAGTGGATTATGCCCTTACAGTAATTCGTGATAGACGATAGCTCTCAGACAGCTTCGGACACCAGTTGAAGGTTGAAGTCATTTTTGCGAAGCACTTCCGAGGGGATGCTAATATATCCTTTTAAGAATACAGGTTAGGGATCGGTCTACCATAACCCATTACGAAGTCCTTCCGAGCGGTCCTACGAAAAAAGGGACGAAGGTCGATCAAAACTTTTTACTCAACCTAATACATATATTCAGTGAGAAAATGGTAACGATCCCTCACATATGAATCTGTTACTATTTCCCGACTTCGATGGCCCCTTATCCTATATTAGAGATACTCTCATAGCCGATTGCCCTGACCTGCATGTTGGCGTAAACGTCTAACATTCGAATGAATATCGACGGAACAGTTTTTCCAAATTTACAGAGGGCCTCTTAATTTAGACCTATGAAAGTAATCATACAAGGTAAGGACTTCTGAATTGATTTTTTGGAGTTACCACGATCATTTACGCGTATTCATAAAGTTGGTTGGTGCTAAAGCTGTTCCTACCGAAGAAGGTATTTATTTGTCCTAAAAAGACTGCTAGAATTTTGAGCTTGATCGCTGACAAACCCACATTTAGCTTGACTCATCGACTATGAAGCTCCTTTTCTCATTGAGGCCTTCGGAAAAAAAGCAACCGGGATTGGCTTCATTATATACCAACTCTGGTTTGCGCTGTGACATGTTCTGGACTGATTTCGTACAGGTTATTTTGATTGCAAAAGGAATTTCCTGACTTACAAGGCTCATGGACACCTTTGGATAACTGCTACTCTCAAACTCATCCCTCATCAGCAGTCAACCCTTCCATTTCATGATTACTGCTACGACTTTTGGACAGCTGATGAACGAGCGAATGCGTAAGGTAGTGGAGAGCGAGTGAGGTTTAGAGGGGCGAATGAATATGGAGAGCCTGAGTTGCTTGGCTGCGCAATCGCTCTCGGGGGAATACGACGTAGCACATGGAGAGCTGTCGGGAGTGGACAACCGAGGCTTATTTGATTACCACCGTTTTAAAAATAGCTTCGTCATAGGGCATCAAGTGCAGACCATGTGGTGAGGGCACATTTGTTCCCTGAAAGCTTTCAATCCACGGTTTTGCACGATTGGTTTGTAAAAACGATTAAAAAAATTTTGTAAGTGGGTGGATTATGAGCTTTCAGCGGCAGACATTCCAGCTTTCAAAGTACCCCATAGGCGGAGCAATAAGCTCGGTACACATTAATGGTGCTTTAACTATTTAAGGAAATTGCATTCAATAGATGGGAAATACCTTACCAAGTCGACTATTTGGTATAGACCAGCGCTGACATGAACGTCAAGCGTTGTTCGTGGGTGACGGATTGGAAGGTAGGGCCGAGCGTTTGCTTGAATCCACGACGCCAACCTTCAATTCATGACACTGTTGGATGTAGAACTAGAACTGAAGGCTGACTGTGGGTACCTCCCGTGAGGATCAGAATGACTTGCAGCGAGCTCGTAGTCGTCGGAATTCCATCGATAACGCTGTGCTGCCACATCGACTACGTCCTTCGGTCGTTGCTTCTTCACCACAAAACCTGAAACTCGTAGCATTGACTGCTCGTAGAAAAAAAAATCTCATTTACTATCCCGATGGAAGCGAGGTAATGTATGTATATGAATTCTGCACGAATTCTCATTATCCTCTTCTTTCTATCGCGAATCTCATTGCCTTTTGAGGGCCTCCCATACCTCTTTTGACACAAAGCCCGATTTCCTACAGTAATGTGCGAAAGTGAGTTCCTCAAAATATTTCAACGAAATGAGATTTGTATGAGTCGTTTGATTGCCAAATTGCAATCATGCTACATCATAATCAGGCCAAGCAGAGAAGGCTTTTTTGATTGCTGTTCAGGAATCCGATTAACAACGACAATCCCACTTGCAATGAAATCAGGAACGCTTGCAAAAATTTCTGGATTTCCGAGAATGACGAGTGAGGCTTCCGAGAGCCGTCTTGGGGAACTACTCGCGTGAAGCATCCCTAGCCAGCCGGCTTGGCAGACAGCGCAGGGTCATCCATTTCTCAAGCGAACTCATTGTGTCGGCTAGTTTTTAGAAAAGCGACTATTCTCACAAACGCAAAGCATTGATTTCACCAACGAAAATGAAAAAATCTTTTTCCCTTTTTCGGTAAAAGTGAAGGGATCGAAGATAGTATCTGACAAACGGACTAGCAGGCATCCCTTGACTATATTAAGATAGTATGAATAGATATAAAAAAAAAACAAGCCATAGTGGATGACACGAGGGGTTCACCAAGCAGTTTGAGGAACCTAGAAAAATGTGGAGCAGACTAATTCTTTCCTGACCGCAGCCACCTTGCTGGTCGCCTTCAACTAATCGAGTAACCAAATAGCCATCTGAGAGGGGTAGCACCTCGAAGGCACGTCTTCAGGAATTTCACACCTCAAAGACGAGGACGTAACATAGTACTCAATCCCACTTGCCCTTGCATTTCCATATGCGGTCTAAAGATTCTTATAAATGGTGAGAGCTTAACAGATTGTGTGCCTACCGATGTCTGTGAATCATTGTGTCTAAATGGTCGTAAGGGACAAGATCGAAGGCATGAGAGACATGCTACTAGCATCTGCCTTTAGTCCAGTTCTTCATAAGCATGATGGCCCTGTGCGTTTCTTGCGACCGACGTTCATTTTACAACTGTAGGACCTATCCGGAAGACGAATCACAGTGGTTTGACACAATTCAACAGCACAAACTGGAGGGGAGCTGGCAGCATCCCATCACCACCGCCCCGCTCTCTCCAACCGATATGTCACTGGTCGGGAGGGAAAATGCTGCTCTCAGGCAGTAAGCTGCCCCCAATAGATTCCTCGAGCGAGCTCTTTTCTTTCTTTGCTGCTGAGCCTGGGTTTCGACGTGAGGGTGGACGATCCAGAGTGGAGCTCAAGTGTAATCCTTGTAAGCAGTTGCTTTAAGGGGAAATGTGTGGAATTTGAGCGAATTCGAAAAAATCTTCCAATTTGAACTACATTATGAATCCTTTCTTTATTCAGGCTTCGCTGATGCAGGTTGCGGGCTCGGTGTCAAAAAAGAAATTGCTTTAGGGCAAATTTCTAATACTGGAAGCAGTAGGAGGGGGAATGTCAAGTATGCATTTCACACGCAGAAACAACAATTGATGGGTAGCTAGAATTGTAGTTGCTGAGCAACCCTATTTGTTGGAACACACGGCATGCAATGAATATTTCACTTACAAACGTCCAAAGAGCAATCATTTGCTTTTTTTGTTCCATATGAATAGGCAAAAATTGATGGAAATCAATTACCTTTAATAACTTGGCATAGGAAGAGGACCAGAAAAACATGCTTTGTTAACATTGCAGCATATTCATTCCACATGATAAACCATGAAGTAGAGCAGCAGACAACGTTGAATAATAATAAATAACAGATCACATAGGGGATAGAAGAGGTCAGAAGTCGCCAAGAAATGGGGCCGGCCTTGACAGAGGTCTCCAATAGGGAAGTTGTTGGATGATGGACGGATGTAGTTGATTACAAGGACCTGAAGACCGCTAGCAGCATGTCGTCGGTAAAGTCCAGAATCGATGCTGCCCAAGTCAAAACCGCATTTCATGGACACGCCCCTCGGGGAGGGATCTTACACCTTCGAGAGCGAAAGAGGTCGGCAAGAAATCGACAAAGAATCGCAGAGCTATAGTGACGTAGGATATTGGTTGCACTTCGATTAGAGCAGCTTGACCTTGAAGGCCAAGGTGGTCTCAGATGGATGAGTTTCCTTGGTGATGGACGATCCAATTTCAGAATTTTACAACAAATTCGTGCTCCCGACAAGGTCCACCAGAAAACGTTACATTATACTCAGTTCAAGTTCCAAACCTGGAATCGATAAGTATGTGCAGCTTGAGCTTTCACATGTGAAAAATGATTCGCTTTCATTTGGCTGCTCTAAAGCATGTTCGGGCAGAATCCGCAACAGACATTGCGGCGCAAATGCAGGCTAAACGATGAAGGATGCCCCAATCACTCATGCTTGGCTAACCTTAGAGAAACGTCTTCTGAATGTGCCCAGACGTCCAATAAGATGTTGGAGCAATCATCTTGCAGCTACCTTTTCCTGTTGTTGAACACTTGATGAGCTATTTCAGTTTCGTAGACGGTAGAGAGGAAGCACGACACTCAACGAGTGCTCTACTTCTCTACTATTCACGTAATCGAGTGATTAGAATTCAAGAAGCATTTTGTAGGCTCCAGTCTTCCGAAAGTATAAGTATAGGCTCATTGCAGATGTACTTATAGAAGGTAGACGCGTATCTCTGATGAAAGTGCAGCGGAATTGGTTTATAACAGATTTAGATAAGTTGAACTCATGCTCCAAGTCCGTGATGCACAGCTTGTGCATGCCCTTACCATGGTACAAACCCCATTGCAATGTATTGCAGATCTGGACTTCAGTATTTGTGCTTTGGATGGAGTTCAGAGGATTTCTTCATTGCTCAATTCGGCTGGTCACCACACCTGAATCTACTTGGAAAAGTTTCGCCGTGTCCCTCAAATCGCTGGGATTCCTTCTCCCTTGATTGTTGTCATGAGATCACATTTCACAGCCATGTTCTTGTAATTTGATCACAGATCACTGAGGCCAATCGCTGTTCAGCTGGAAACAGCGACTTTGTGGTGCCTATCCATACAAAATGAGTCTTCTGTTCGATTATGAGCAGTCAGCTGTGGTGAATGTTCACTAACAAAACGAATTTACAGTTTTTTTTTTCAAAGAAAAAAAAGCGATGAACACAAGGCCGAAGGTAGAAATGGAGCGCTTTCCCCAGTTTCCTAGATCAGAGAACAAGAAGCTGAACTATTCGTTGGCAGGAACTCCATAGGTGCAAGTACATGTTTGACCAACGCGTATCATTTTAAGAATAGCCAATTCCATATAGTTTTTGGATTGTTATATTCATTTGCAGAAAGTGCTCAGGAAACTGTAATTTCTATGACGATCGGTTGGAATGGCTTGAATTGAACAAGGGATATTTTTGGGGTTATCTCAAAGATGTCAAGATGTCGAGTGTCATTGCCAAGTCCTCGTTGCTCCTAACCCAATTGCTCATGCAGAAGAAGAGGATCTCCATTGCTTTTCTCTTATACTGGGAGGACCTTTCGTTGGTGTCCATTCAAATCGTATCAATCAGGTTTCCCCTCATGAGAACAGTTCTAATCGAATGCAGTGCAGGTTCTTCAGGAGAGGAACTTCAATGGCTAACATTCTGACAAGGGCAGCAGAGATCCAAGGGAGTATCCCGTTCAACCTCAGTAGCTTTGTTAGCAATAGTGCAAAAGCGATTCCTTTCAGTAGATCACCCACCAGAACAAAAAGTGCTCAGAACATGTTCAGTTCAAATCTTTCTAGCTGTGCTAAGCTGTAGATTTTGCGGCGCATAATCTGACACTGGCCGAGTTAGGACCTTACTTGTACAAATGCAGCCCCTTTACCTCAACCCAAACTAACATGAACTTGCACATTGAAAAGCGAAATTATAAGAGTTTTTGTTCCGATCAGAAAGTACTGCGGAAAGGTTTTCATTTCTGATGACTTATCCCAGAGAAAAGCCCTATAACGAGATTTCAACGAGATTACACTTTATATTCCGCTCACTCTTTAACATCGTGCGACAGCACAATTTGGTAAGAGCTACAACTGATTGTAACCCATCGCTTCTCACCTTCGAAATAAACTTGTTCCGCTGGCTTGCTTACGATGAAAGTTGCCTTTTGAGCTGTCACACATATGTGGTCGTGGCAATTTCACCCAGGCTTGTAGCCAATAACGAATGTTTTCGCGTCAAGACACTCGGAAGATCCGAAACCTCTTTCTTGGCTCTTGAACTCCCCGGAAAAAATTGCTCGTATTCTGGTTAAAGCTGGTGAGGCTAATAAATAGCAGATGATTAGTGGGCAAAAAAATATCCGCTACTTATTGTACTGTTTCATTTTTGGGAATTGTATTTATGAAAAAACAGAATGTAAGAAAGAGCTCTTCTAAAGCACACCCTACCGGTCATATGTTTACACAGCTATTTTGGACCTTTAGTGACCGTATGAAGTTAGAAATTCATGAAGTTTTCATTTATGCAGCTGTCACAGGCGGCTATTATATTGCGGTTAAAAGACGGCTCATCCGCTCGAGTTGTTGGCTATGTGAGTTTCGATGGATAACAGATGTTCCATTCGGTTGTTGTAATGGAGCCGACGGAACCTTGAAATAACAAGCAAAATGAAAAACCACGAAATTTGCAGAGATTTCAGGAAATGAGCAGAACACAGCCTTACGATGGCTTTAAAGGAGCAGTTCTCGATAAAAATGGTTCCTGAGATTCCCCCACAGGATAAATTTGAGGCTTCTGCGTATACCATACCTGGCACTATTAGGTCGGAAAAGGGCCCAGTTAGGAAGGTATAAAGGATCAAAGACTGGCCCGTGTGTATCCTCAGACAAGTTTCACCGGCACTGTAGAGGCTGCATCGATCACAAGGGAAGCCATGTAGGGAGTTCAAATGACTTGTCATGACCCATAGCGACAGTGAAAGACAGTTCTGTACAGTTCTGGCTTAATGTAGCCAGCTCTTTGCGCAACTACAGTAACTGAAATCTTGTCCGAATACGCCTTCCATTTTATTTCCGGCATGACATTCCCGCCCAACCTCTACTTTCCCTACTTTTGGAGAGCCATATTTTTCTTGAAATCGGCGAACTCTCTCGCTTTCTTCGCTACGATAAACTATTCCCAATTTATACTTCCGTTTTCCGAATAAAAACGGGTACCTCAAATTATAGTGAAGTGTGCCTTTAAACATCGTTTATGCTCCGTAAACACAGACTGGTTACTCGGTAGAGTCATTTTTCACAAGAATATGTTCCGTTAAGGCTTTCAGATCCGAGCTGGGACGGCCAGGTATCCATTAATCAATGCATGGTCCATTCATGAGAGTGTCAGCTAATTCATCCCCGACAGAATACATAACTACGCTAACAATGGATCACCACCTTCCCTATTAGTTCATCAACCCAGGGTCTTGGAGTGAAAAAGAAGGATTCGATTGTCCGACACGTTTCACATCTCTACGGAATGTTTGATCGCTCCCTTTTTTATATGCACATGGTGTTGTCAAGGTGAAATATGGACTAAAAATTTAGCGGCGAGAATCGCGTCCATTAATGTTGAGGAGAGCCATGTTACTGAGCTACGCCTCTTACCGAGCTCTTTTTTTAGACCAGATTTTTCGCGGCCACACCATATATAAACTTTAATTACCACAAATCGAGCCGAACTTGTGATTAGGACTCTCCGTAAAAGTTGTCTGCTGGATTGACGGATATATAAATTCAGATGTTTCGCTTTGAAAATCCTCAAAAGATCACACGAAACGTTACAGGTATAGGCCCTTAAAAGATGAAAACGAGTTTACAATACATTTCGATGTTCCTCTCCAAGATGGTTTATCACTCATACTAATGACTCATTAACCTTTGTCGCTGATTCGAACTGGTCGGATTTATTCGGGACAAAAGCTTGAGTGGTGGTTATTTCTCGAAACTCGGATCATTCGGAGAATTTGGAACGCTATTCGCTTACAGATAATTAGGCACATTTGCTGGAATTTCAACATCACTGGTGAAGGATGAATGATGAAAACTTTGGTATTGATCAATCTGAAGTATTCGACTTTCGTTCAGAATCTTAGCGGCATCTCGTATACATGTGTATGTAGAGTATACACTGACATGAGGTAGCCAGCCGGGAGAATGGCAAGTATATTGCACACAAGACCTCCCAGATAAACGAGCTACGCAGTGGATGCCAGGTCACTATACATGGGGTCATAAGGGCTCACCGAAACTACGAAGCACGGGTATACCGTTCAACCACGTGAAGACGGCAAGCTAGAAACTGGGCGGAATAGAAGGTTCTCCTCATTTAAGAGCACATCTACGTGGACAAGCAGACCTATGGACTCAGATTCTAACACCGCTAAATTGCCGCGTAGAGTGGTTGGATTTGATGTGAGCAGAGCAGCGCTAGACAAGAAAGCAGGAAATCACAAGCGAAGCAGGAATGTAACCCAAAGCAGAATCTGCACACATCAGCAATGTGCAGGTTCTGCTTTTGAATTTCGGTCAGGGATGTTGAATTTTCTGATTTTCTGAATTGAGATAGGTTGTTGAGCGCCATACATTGGGTAGATTGAGATTCCAGCTATTCCATAGGCTTCCCCGTCAAAACATCCAAAATTGAGACGGCTTCATATGCAGCTTACCTTTAGAAATTTGAAAGCTAAAATCACATGTGCTTTGACACGCCTAGGAAAAAGACGTTTCGTACGCAGCTCTCTAAGCTGAACTTGGTAGCTCGGCAGGACGATATGCACCTGAAAAAGCTAGATAGAATAAAATTTTGGTGAAGAATTTGCACTTGTCTAACCATAGACTACATTACTCGATAGTAGAAAGCACACATATTTCGTAGAACCTGATCTATACAGCGGCATCGGATGTATGAACACTGAGGAACAGCCTGAGCCCCTCGATCGAAATTTCTTCTACGTAGGTGCTCCACTTTCCATCAGAAATTAGTATGACTTCAATGCCTTGATTTTGCAGATCTAGCTATTGGGCCCCATCAGGAAAATGAATAACTAATTACGATGGATCGAGCGAGAGCAGATGACTTTTGCGAGGGTTATTCCCCAGATTTCATCTCGAGCACCAGTCGAAAAAGGTTATCGACGGCATGGTTTGAAATATTTTGAGAATCATCCCAATCCCGCTTCCTATAGGCGTTGGATACCTGAACAATGAGTAATCAGCAGAAACTGTTTCTCGAATCCTAGTATCGAACTTGATCAAATGAATGAGAGCGTGTGCGCCTAAAGAGAAAAAGGAGTGGAAACGATATTCCACCTTGGGGTACTCCCAAAGAATAGTAGAAGTATAGTTGTAAAAATGGACGCTCGATTTCCAGCCAGAGAATTGAGATGAGAACCAGTATCGCAGCTTTCCTTTGACACCAATGCTTTCAAGTTTGACAAGTATGTAGGCTGGGTCTAGGCACGGGTCAAATGCTTTTCTTAAAGGCACCGTTCACATAATTTCGGGTAATCCAGATTATGATGAAAAATGGAAGACAAGATCGAAACTAGTGTGACTGATGTGAAGAAACTGCGTGCATCGGTGTTTCCGAAGTGAAAAAAGGCTTCGAAAAACCGTTAAAAAGGGGGCTGGACGAGAAAGAAACAAGAAAAATGAAGAAGAGTGGGGCGTCCAGACGAGCTAAACAGTGTGTTTCACAGCGTGCGTGTGGGTCCTCGTGCGAATAACAGACTGTGGTAAGCAAAAATTCATTCACTTATAAGCATAAATAAACAAAAAACCCTAATAACAGCAAAAGTAGCTCACCTTTTTCAGCCTCTAGGAGTAGGAAATTGAAGAAGGGATCGCGGCAGCAAAAAGAAAAACTGGGGAAA